ACGGGGTTTCACCATGTTGACCAGGATGGTCTCGATCTCTTGACCTCGTGATCCACCCGCCTCGGCCTCCCAAAGTGCTGGGATTACAGGCTTGAGCCACCGCGCCCGGCCCAACCAAATGGTCTTTAAGGGCTCTTCTCAGGTGAGCTCTAGTTCTAAAATTCTCCAGGCCAACAGGGATAAAGCCAGTTACCTGAGAAAGCACAGCACAGCTCCATCCATAGTAAAGTAACAGAGGACTCGATCTGTGGTTACACGCAGCTTGTCAGGCTGCAGCTGCAGCTTACAGACCAGAGGGGACACCAGGACCCACAGAGTTAGTTATCCGTGTGCGGCCACAAGAAAAGAGACCTGCCCGAGCCCAGGCCTGTGGGATTCTCCTCCTTACCGACCTGGAGGAGGAATAGGTGGGACTACCTGGAAATGGGAGCAAACAGTGCCCAGGCTGGAAGCACCTGCCAAATGGCACAGGGCCAGTGCCCACCACATTCGCAGTGGAGGTGACAGATTGAGAGAATGACAGAGTGCTGGCAGCCTTCGCCTCTGCTGAAGATTCCTGGGTGGGCTGCTGTCGGGATGGTGACCCTGCCTGACCTTGAGCACTTCTGGCTTGACGGCATGGGGAGACCGACCTACCGAGCTGCTGCCCAGGGAAACTAGGGACAATTAGAAAAACAAACAAACATTTCAAGTCCTGGAAATGACCCTGAGGGCAAACAGAACAAGAACAAAAATGCAACTTTTAAACCAACAGACGAAAACTTGATGTGCCCAACAGAAAGCAAAGGAGGGGAATGAAAATCAGCAAGAAGCACATATATATCCACCGCACTTCTCTACACAAATAGGAACACATGGAAACCCAGGTTGAAAGCACACCACCACCCCAGTCACTTTAACGAAAGAAAATACTTTGATATACATTTAACAAAAACATGTATCAGATTTGTGTGACAACGTTTACAAAATGCCAGGAATGTCCATTCTCCCAAGATTGATCTATAGACGTAATTCCTACCAAAATCCCAATCCCAGTATGTCTTTTTGTAGACATAAACAAGGTACAGTGTGTGTGTGTGTGTGTGTGTGTGTGTGTAAAGGACCTCAAATGACTAGAACGTTTTAGAAAGCAGAATTAGGAGAAATTGCTCTGCACAGCATCATGGCTTGTTGAATACGTACAGTCATCAAGACTGCATGGTGCTAGTGGAGGAACAGACATGGACGGAGCAAAATGGACTTTTGACAAAGACATAAAAGCAATTCAATGAAGGAAGGAGAGAGGCTTTTCAACAAAGGGTGCTGGCACAGTGGGGCATCAATAGGCAAAAAAGTGAACCTCAACCTCTATCTATCTCTCAAGACGTACAAAAATCAACTCAGGATAGAACTTAGGCTGGGCATGGTGGCTCATGCCTGTAATCCCAGCACTTTGGGAGGCCAAGGCAGGTGGATCCCCTGAAGTCAAGAGTTCCAGACCAGCCTGGCCAACATGGTGAAACGCTGTCTCTGCTAAAAATACAAAAGGTACCCAGGTGTGGGGGCATGTGCCTCTAATTCCAGCTACTCAGGATGCTGAGGCAGGAGAATCACTTAAACCCAGGGGGCAGAGGTTGCAGTGAGTCAACGTCATACCATTGCATTCCAGCCTAGGCAACAGAGTGGGACTCCATCTGGGAAAAAAAAAAAAAAAATGGAACTTAAATGTAATGTAAAACTATGAAACCAAACGAAAGTACAGTTGATGGAAACTGTGAAATAAGGTGGAAATATAACAATAAATGTAATTAGGTTAAGCTTAATGATTAAGAAAGATAAATCTAAGAATAAAAAAATCAATGAGATAATATATTGCTTAAAGACAACTTAAAAAGCACTGGAAGACTGAAAATAAAGAATGCTAGAAATTCCATGCAACTTTGAATGAACAGAAAGCTAAGATAGTGATTCTGGTAACTAATACAATGGAAACCAAGAAAAAAATACCATAAAGAACAATGATGGACATTATATACAGAAAAATCACTCACATATAAAGATATATTTATTATAACACAATATGTACCCCTGCAACATAACCTCCAAATACTGTGTGTGACATTTGACAGAGGAGAAGGGAGCAATAAACAACTCTTACTTGTATTTGTATAAACCAATAAGTCAAATCAATTTTTTAAAAGTGGATATGTAGACCACGTAAACAATAAGATCAATAAGCTTGAGTGAATCTTTTTGAGCACACTAAGAACATTTACAAAACTATACTGGACCGTGAAGAAAGCCCCCACAAATTCCAAGGGATCAGTATAATACAGAACATGTCCTCTAGCTAAAAGGCAATACAATTAGAAACGTATAACAAAAAACTTTTTAAATGCCTTATGTCTGCAAATTAATTAACATATTAGCAGGCAATTATAAGAGAAATTAAGAAATTGTCAGAATTGAATGTTAATTTGTGTTTTACAGCTACAGCAATGCCAGGAGGGAAATTATACCTTTAAATATTCTTATCCAGGCTGGGCGGGGTAGCTCACCCCTGTAATCCCAGCACTTTGGGAGGCTGAGGTGGGTGGATCACCTGAGATCAGGGGTTCAAGACTAGCCTTGCCAACATGGTGAAATCCCATCTCTACCAAAAATACAAAAATTAGCTAGGCAGGGTGGTGGTCGCCTGTAATCTCAGCTACTTGGGAGGCTGAGGCAGGAGGATCACTTGAACCTGGGAGGTGGAGGTTGGAGTGAGTCAAGACCGTACCATTGCACTCCAACTTGGGCAAAAAGAGTGAAACTCCATCTCCAAATAAATAAATACACTTATCCAGAAACAAAAAGTTAAAAGCAAGTACATATTATTCAGGGTTCTCCAGGGAAATGAAACTGACCGGATATAGAGAGAGATTTCTTTCAAATAAACAGCTCACATAATTGTGAAGGCTGGTAAGTCTAAAATCTGCAGGGTGAGCCTGCAGGCTGGAGACTTGGGGAACACTTGCGGTTTGAGTCTGAGAGTGGTGTGCTGGCAGAATTCCTTCTTTCTTGGGTGAAGTCAGTCTTTATTAAGATCTTTAACTGATTGGATAGAGCCCACCTGCGTGATGGAGGGCAACCTGCTTTATGCAAAGTCCACTGGTTTAAGTGTTAATTCCATCCAAAAAAACACCTGCCCAGAAAACATTCCAAATGGTTTTGACCAAATACCTGGATACTGTGGCCCAGCCAAGATGACACATGAAATTAACCATCACGAAGGGTCATGAGTTGAACTGTGTCCTCCCAAAATTCATATGCTGAAGCCCTAACCTCTGGGAACTCGGAATGTGACCTTATTTGGAAATGGGTTGCCGAGGATGTAATTAGTTAAGACAAGGTCAGTACAAAAGTTAGCCAAGCGTGGTGGTGGGTGCCTATAACTACAGTGACTTGGGAAACTGAGGCAGGATAATCGCTTGAACCTGGGAGACAGAGGTTGCAGTGAGCTGAGATTGTGCACTGCACTCCAGCCTGGGCAACAGGGTAAGAGTCTGTCTAAAAAATAGATAAATAAAAAGACAAGATCACCCTGGAATAGGGTGGACCCATAAAACGACCAGTGTTCTTATAAAAAGAAATTGGGACACAGACACAAACGGAGGGAAGACAATGTGATACACGGGAGAACACCACGTGAACATGAAGGCAGAGGTCAGGGCCATGTGATGATGAAAGCAGATGTCGGGCCACGCGTCTGCAAGCCGACGGGCTCCCAAGATAACCTCCAGAGCTGGGAGAGCAACCTTGACCAGCTTTCCATTTGCAACCCTCAGAAGAAAGCAACCCTGCTGACACCTCAATCTTGCACTTCTAGTGTCCCAAATTGTGAGACAATGGATTTCTGTTACTTAGGCCACCCAGTCTGTGATGCTTTATTACAACAGTCTTTGCAATGTAATACAGCACGTGACGTGAAATCCTTACTTAAGAAGCTGGAAAGACGCCAGGTGCAGGATCACGCATGTAATTGCAGCCCTTTGGGAGACTGAGGTGGGAGAATCACTTGAGCTCAGGAGTTCAAGACCAGCCTGGGCAACAAAATAACCTACTCTCTATGAAAAATCAAAAGGTTAGCCGGGCCTGCTGGCACACACCTATGGTCCCAGCTACTCGGGAGGCTGAGGCAGGAGGATCCCTTGAGCCCAAGAGGTTGAGGCTGCAGTAAGCTGTGAGTGTGCCACTGCACTCCAGCTTCAGCAACAGAGTGAGACTCTGTCTCAATAAATAAATACGTATATGCCTAAGAAATTGGGAAGAGAGCAAGTGACACAAACATTTTACAGCTAGTGCTCGACTTACGACCACGATTGGTTCTGACAGACCGGTTGTAACACGATTTGGTCATAAGTTGAGTAGGCTATATGCATGCGGAGATGGTAGTGCTGCCAGAAGCTGGTCCGCACTGTCATACGCCCAGCTGGGCAACGTTTGCGCTGCCCGACGCGGAGCAGTCCTGGCTAGCGATTGTGGTTGCAAAGTCGAATGGTCGTAAGTCGCATAGGTCGTAAGTCGATCAATACCTGTACTTAAGAACCTGGAAAATGAGTAACGCAAACCCAAAGAAACAAGAAAGAAGGAAATATAAAGATAAGGGGGGCAGAAATCAGTGTAAGAGAGGGGCAAATGATGAAATGGACACGAGAAATAAAATCAAAAGCAGAGCTTGGAAAAGACTGAGGGGCTGATCTATGAAAACTGCAGGTTAGAGTGACGGGCACAGAAATGATTTCATTATAAGCTAATACATTTGAAAGCCTAGGTGAAATACACACATTCCTGAACGGATATAAAATCAGCGCTGGTGCAGGAAGAAAACTGCAGTGCAGGTAAAAGCCATCCCACTCCCATCAAAAGCCTCTGTCTCATGCTGTTTTGTGAGTTCTGTCAAAGTTTTAAAGAACAGTCAATTCCCATCTTAAACAAGTTTCCTCCCCCAAATGCAAAAAGAACAAAACCCACCCAACTCATTTTATGATATTTTATGCCACGCAGCCAGGCTAGAACTTCTGTGTCTCCTGGAGGGGAGCACCCACGTCCCTCGTCCCTTGGCTCCTGAGTGTGGAAAGCTCTGCCCTCTGGCTCTGTGAAAGTGGCTGTTTCCAGACAGACTAGGGTGCAGGCAGCTCCTTGGGAGGTCAGAAGGGAGAGCACACCCCATCTGCCCCTGGTTTATGAAACATCCTTCTTTCCCTCCCTCCCTCCCTCCTCCCCTCCCTCCCTCCCTCTCTCCCACCTTCCTTCCCTCCCTCCCTCCCTTCTTTCCTTCCCTTCCTCCCTCCCTCATTCCTTCCTTCCCTCCTTCCTTTGTTTTGACAGCATGGCACCATCTCGGCTCACTGCAACCTCCGCCTCCTGTGTTGAAGCAATTCTCCTGCCTCAGCCTCCCAAGCAGCTGGGACTAGAGGCATGTGCCACCATGCCCAGTGATTTTTGTATTTTGTAGTGGAGACAAGGTTTCACCATGTTGGCCAGGCTGGTCTCAAACGCCAGACCTCGTGATCTGCCCACTTTGGCCTCCCAAAGTGCTGGGATTACAGGCATGAGTCAACGCACCTGGCCCCATCTTTAGTTTTACATATTTTTAATTTTTGTAGATTTAGGGATGCAAGTACAGATTTCTTGCATGCATGTATTGTGCAGTGGTGGAGTCTGGGTTTCTGGTGGGGACATCACCTGAACAGTGAGCACTGTACCCAAATAGGTGATTTGCAACCCTCGCCCCTTCCCTTCCACCTTTTGCAGTCTCCCACATCTAGGATTCCACTCTGCATGTTCATGACTACACCCATTTTTAGCGCACGGCTGAGGCCACAGCCGAGGAGGAGACATTCTCCCCCAGGGGCCATGTGCTGGGCCTTCTGGAGGCAGATGAGGGGAGCCTCTTGGGAGGGCTTTGAGCCTGGCATGCATGGGGGTGTGCCACTCAGGAGGTGAGCAGTGCTGGGGACAGGCTGGGTGAAGCAATCATCTGTTGACGGTATCTATTGAGTGCCATTGCTGGGCCCAGGGCTGAGCTTGGACAGGTGCGTGGGTCAGACGAGACCCAGGGACACACAAATCACACGAGAAGCTTTACACAAACTTGCTTTAACAGAGCCTTTTTATTGACAAAAATAAAAGGACGTGAAAAGAAATTTAAGACTCAGTGGGCTGAAGAGTGGTCACTTATCACTGCAACATTTGAGAGCTGGCGTCAGGTGGCAGCCTGGCTGCAGAGAAGGTGCCCAGGCCCTGGGCTCAGTGGTGGCCTTTCCCCAGCCGGTGCCCCCAGCCTCATTGCCTGGCCCTCCTGCACCTTCTTTTTCTTGTCTAAGAACTGGGCTCATGCCCCTTTATCCCCGGTGGTTGTGGGGATGAAAGGAAGGCCAACCCCTGCAGGGCCGGATGCCTGGATCTGGCCCTGGGTAGATGCCTCCCTCCCCTTCTTCCTGAGCCCTCCACGCAGAGCCCAGGATCCGATGGTCGCAGTGACTGAAATCTCTTTGGAGAAGAGAGAGATCAGTGGAGACTAAAGCCATCGGTGAGAGTGGAAGAATTCAGCTCTCCAGTGGAAGGCGGCAGTGTGCAGAGAGCCCCGTGCTGGGGCTGCTGGGGCCAAGGCCTGGGGGTTCAGTCCCCTGAGAAGCCCCTACCAGCTTAGCCTAGGGGATGAGCTATGGGAAGGACAGATGAGAAACTGCTGACTAATCAAGGCCGACAGGACCAGGGCAAGCTGGGGGAGACCGTGGAAGTGGTGGAAGGAGCAGGCAGGCTAAGCCTCGGGAAGCCAAGAGAGGGTGAGCAGGGAGCCAGGTCCTAGGAAAGAGAAAGCACCGAGCTCCAGGGCCATGTGGGGGAGGCTGTGGCAGAGGACTGGGGCACCAGGCCATATTGAGAACCTTCACTGCAGGCCCATGCTAGGTTCCTGACCCACGGTAACTGGGGTCTTCACAGAGCAAATGAGGGAGAAACTGCCGACTCCATTCTGATGGAGCAAAAAGAGCCTCTTGGGGGGCTTCCTGCATCACTGCTATGGGAGGAGTCAGGGTAGGAATGCAGCAGGCTCCAAAGTCCCTGCTGTGTCCCGTGGGACAGGGAGCCAGGCAGTGGGAGGCGTGGGGCAGGGAGAAGAGTGGTGTGCAGGTGAGCAGTGGCAGGACCTAGGCTCTGTCAATATTTGGGGTGGGTCAATCATTAGCCAACCTTGTCCCCCAGCAGGTTCCCCACGTGGGTTCTGGGCTAGGCCCTGCCCTGCTGGGGGCTCCACAGGGCTTGGCGAGGATTGGATGAGCGGGGCGGGCAGCCCCTGGCCTCTGCACTCAGGAGACTGCCCTGCCCACAGCGCTGCAGTCTTGCCTCTGGGCTGAGCAAGCAAACAGAGCACTGCACAGTTGAAAAAATGAGTTTCGAAACAATCTGTCAAGAAAAAAGATGTCAAAGTAGTTATCATGGGAAAAGTCAGACTTTTGATGGACTTCATTGCACTTATTCTGTGGATATTATTTTACTTTTAAATTATGTATGTGGGGGAGGGGAGCACACCATAATCTTTCTAGTGCCCAGAAGTTCTTAAACCAGGCTCTGTTCAGCTGGACCTATGTCTGTGGGCAAAGGACTATTCTAGGGCCTCTAAGTGCATGGTTTGATTTAATCCTCTACGTGATTTTTTTTTTTTTTGAGACAGAATCTCACTCTGTCACCCAGGCTGTAGTGCAGTGGTGTGACCTCAGCTCACTCAACCTCTGCCTACAAGGTTCAAGAGATTCTTGTGCCTCAGCCTCCTGGGACTATAGACATATACCACCAGGCCCAGCTAATTTTTGTATTTTCAGTAGAAATGGGGTTTCATCACGTTGTCCAGGCTGCTCTCAAACTTCTGGCCTCAAGTGATCTGCTCGCCTCGGCCTCCCAGAATGCTAGGATTAGCAGCATGAGCCTTCTAAGTGATCTTAAGAGATACATGCTCTTGACCTCCTGTTTTAGCCACCTAATGTAACTGCCTCAGAGACGTACACAGCGAGTATAGACAGAATGGATATATGCCCTCAGATCTGCCTGAATCCAGGTGGGATCCCTTTAGTTAACATTGGTCCTGGAGAGACCTCAGTGGAGTAAGGAACTGGGCATGAGCCTAACAGGGTTGAGGTGGGAGGCAGGCTCCCTGCAGTTCTGGCAGAGGTTGGGGCTAAGCAGGTAGGCCATGGGCCAGCAGGGTCCTTACGGCTGGCTGCAGATGGAGTTCTGGGTCTATTACCACAGTGGTGGATGAGGAACGGACAACAGCTCTGTGAGACCAGATGTGTGTGCTATAACATGGGCTCCAGGTCACCTGACTCCAGAGGAGCTATGCTATTTAAGGGCATTACCTCACCCCACAATTGGCCTTGCATTTATCAATTGTCCCTCATTTGGAGGGCAAGAAAATCCAGGTCACACAGCAAGTTGGTGGGAAAGCTAGGCCTAAAACCCAGGGCCCCGGGCTTGGTGTCCAGTGTTTTTTCCTGTGCACCTGTCCCACCACCCTGTACAATAAGCACGAGGGCCAGAGTGTGGCTCCTGGGGCCCCAGGAGCCTTCAGCAGGCCACAGAACACACATATGGTAAAAACAAGTTATACTTGCATGTGGTGAAAAAATCAAATAGGGCAGAGGACTTCATGTGAGTGGTTATGGGTGGCCATCCCATCTCTCCTTACCTTTACTGTTTTTGCTCTCTGTATGCTATAATTTGAGTAATTTATATTATCTTTCTTCAAGTTCACTAATTCTGTCTTCTCCTGTGTCCAAACTCTGTGAAACTTGACCAATCAGTTAATAATTTCAGATACTAAAGTTTTCAGTTCTAGAATGTCCACTTGATTCCTCTCTACAGATTCTATTTCTCTGTAGAATTTCCCCATCTTTTCACCTATTTTCCCCATTTTTCTTCTATCTTCTTTAATATATTCCTATAGTTATTTTAAATTATTATTATCTTATCCAACATTTGGATCACCTGTGGGTCTATGTCTATTGGCGTTTTTTCTATTGACTATTGGTTCATTTTCCTTTTTATTTGCCTGTCTTGTAACTTTCACAGTATGCAGAAAACTATTTATAAAGGAACCATAGCAACCAAATATTATATTATTCTCTTGACAGGAAGTATCTGCCCTTTCTGGTTTAATTAACAACTAAACTGGGATGAGGCTAGTCTACAGCTTTAGTTATAATCAGTCCATATCAGGTTTCAAATACTTGATGGGAAACAGCCTGAGTGCATGGTAAGTCTGTTTTGTCAATCCCAAAGATGTAAGAGAGTCATTCTTCCCTTTGGCAGTTTTAAACTCTGCACCTTAGTTTCCTATCCCCTGCTGCTTCCAAATTTGGCAAATGTCTTGAGGAGGAGACTGGCGGTTTTCAAGACACACCCCCTTCCTGGGAAGGACTTTGCTTCCCAAATATCCAAGACTAGAGGAGATTAGGCTCCAGTTTAAAAACTCCCTAGCGTCCTGTGAAGCTCCCAGCTGCAGCAAATCAGCAAATG